GTACCTGGGAGCTGCAGCCACTTGGGCACCTTGCCCAGACTCCTCACAGGCCGGGCCATCCCTGGGACAGGCTCATCAGGGCCTGGTGTTTCATCTTCTGCAGACGGTTCTGACTCGAGGGGTGCAGGCTCAGAGGCTGGCAATGAGGACCCAGCAGCCCTGGACATGCATCTGAGGGGCAAGAGACAGAGGCAAGGTTGGTGGGTGCTGCCGCAGGGAAGCCCCCAGCCCCACCAACACATACCTGGCTACTAGCACATCAGCTGCAGATGGGGAGACAGTGTGTTCGAGCAGCCTGGGCTCCAAGTAGAGATCTGGAGAGAAGCCTGAGTTACCTTCAGCCTCTGAGGAGCCCACCCACCAGCACTCAGCTCTGGAAGCAGGTGTGGCCAGAAGGTGGCTATCCCAGCCATCCCCAAGGAGGTGGGTATCATGGGGTGTTGGTCTCCCTCCCAGGCTGAGCGCCTTCCAGGGCAGCTTGCTCTGGGCAGAGGATGAGCCAGAAGGGGGCCTGGGTAGGCTGGCCATGGTCAGCAGAGCAGGGCCCTACTCACCTGCTGGCTCCTCGGCTCCAAAGTGCACGAGGGCGGCTGGGAAGAGGTTGGCCTGCAGGGAGGGCAGGGAGCTCAGGGGCCAGGCAGAACTGGGGACCAGGCGTCCCACTGCTGTGGTGGCGGCCACACCCCAGGCTGTTAGTGATCAGTCCCTCTCTGGCACCAAGAGCACTCTCAGGTGGAGTCCGTCTTCCTGGCCCCAACAAAGGACCCTTACGGCACCAATGCCACCACAAGTAAGGCCAGCACGTCCTAGGACAACCAGAGCCCTCCACAGGGCAGCCCAAGCACCAGTGGGAAGACAACGTTCTTGTGGTGTGTGAATTCTGCTGTTTCCCATCACTGGTCCCCCTCCTGCCCAATTTTGGGGATGAGTTGCTGATGCTACAAAGAGAACAGCCTCAGAGCCCACTGGGTGTAATGTCCCCCCATCAGACCCAGCCTTCAGACTGCAGGAGGCCCGACAAGTCAGAGTTGACGAACAGCCCACGGATGGGCAGGCAGACACACAGGACTGGGGGGGGTCTCAACAGGGAGATCTGTGTCTTCCACCTTCCTCATACCCCATCCTCTGCAGCTGGCTCCAACTCAAGGGGTGCAGGCTTGGGTGCTGGCAACAGGGATGGAGCCCAGCAGCCCTGGACACCTGGTTTGACCCAGGAATGAGGAGGATGGCTGCAGGCTAGGGCCGCTTTCAGGCAGAGGGGATGCACCCAGACCAACTGGGGACTAGAGTGACCCTGAGCTCTGGCTCAGGGGCAGGCCTGGCTTGGGGAGGGGACCAGTCCCTGGAGCCAAATCGCTTTGGGCATCCCTGGCTGAGATGCTGCCCTGGAGAGCCTGCCAGCCCAGACCCCAGCCATCACCACTGAGGAAAGCTCACACTACAGTTTTGGACTCAGCACTCAGGGCTAACCCTGCAGGAGGAGCAAGCTGCCCACAGACCCAAAGCTCCTGGAAGGAGCTGGAGGCACTACAGGCAGGGTCCCCACACCTACCCTGGGGTTGGGAATCAGGCCTCCCTAAGCTGCTCTGTCCACTCAAAGGAGAAGGGTGCAGGGTTTCAGCACAGGAACTGGCTCCACTTGCCTGGTGCAGGTATGGGGTGGGGGCAGGACCAGGACACTCGCCTGGGCACATGGCTAGAGGCCTCCCTGGAGGGGAGCTGGATGGTGGCTGCGCTAGGCTGCAGGCAGAGCCCCAAGAGCTCCAGCCACAGTATTACAGTCCTCCTCCTGCTTTCCAGCCACCGCACCCATGGAGGGACAGGCATGGCGGGCCCTGGCGGACGCACAGCAGCCACCATGGAGGGGCTACAGCTGCTGGGCTGAGGCATTCTTCCCGTGTGGCTCCAAGCTGCTTGGTGCCACAGGCTTGCCCGGGTAGGGTGGAGGATGTTAGAAGATTAACAAGAGGAAGCTTCAAAGACCAGGCCTCAGAAGGCTAAAACCTCAGCCTCCAGACGGCAGGCAGCCGAGGGACACAAACAAGGCCATGAATGCTTTGAAAACCCAATTGTGAGGCCTGGGATCAAAGCCTTCTGAAAGAAGGGCCTGTGGGGTGGGCAGGGGCTTCCCTGATGCTCCAGGGAGGGTGCCGGAAGCTGGGGAGCCAGGCAGGGGGCACGGGAAGGGCACGGCCAAAACACACTTGGGTGCTGGGTGTAGCCGAACCTGTTGCCATCATGGCCCCTGACTGACACAGACATGCTCGTTTCGTGGGGCCTCGCCGGGATTCACAAGGGCTGCAGCCGACTCTTCTCAGAAGCCCAGTTGACCCTGCCCAGAGCTCAATGGCACAGCACAAGAGCCTTGGCCCATCTGTACCCCATCCCCCCATCGGTCAAGGGGGCTCCCTTGGAGGCTACTGGAGCAGAGGGCACAGCTGTGCGGCAGCATCTGGTTTTCATCACAACCCCCACAGGCCAAGATCCCCCACCTGGCACTGCCCTGGGAAGTACAGAAAGGAGCAGGCTGAGCTCTGGAACACCAGAGAGGGAAGAAGGCCAGAGCTGCATGTGCAGGCTGTGGGACACCGGGCCTGTCTGCACCTCTGGGCAGTCTGCTCAGCTCATCTCCATGTGCCTGGGCCCAGCCTCAAAGGGGCCTTCCCACCGCTGGGATGGGGTGATGAGGGAGAGGTCTGGCCGGTTGGGTGGCATCAAGGCTGATCAGCTTAAGGGGAGGCCAGGCCTCTGAATGGGCCCTGAAAGGGAACCTCTCAAGTCCTACATCACCTCCACCTCCCACCTGTGGAAACAGCTCACTCTGCCCAGGTTCCCAGCACCACCTCAGCCAAGGAGCTAGATGGCTGAAGCCAGTCCCCTCCACCCCCTCCTGGCACATCGGGGCAAGACATGGACTGACCCCCCTCCAACATCCCCGACAGAGGAAGATGGGATATCATCCAAAGAGGAGGAGAGCTGTTTGGGGGCTGCCTTGTAGAAGCACCACAGGCCATCCTGTCTCCTGCCTGTGAAAGAACTACTGAGGGAAGTCCCAAGCTGAGGGGCCCTATCTCTACCAGCCCTGTCCCAGGAAGCCTCGGGTTGCCCTTGCCTGGCTCCTGCTGCAGATAGAGAAGTGAGGCTGGAGCACCTGGCATTCCCTGCTCATCACCCCCCTGCCTCGCCTTTCCCTCCAGCATTTCTTTGAGAGAAGCAGCCAGGGAGAAGGTGGCTGGACAGAGAAAGACGGAGTATCATCCAAAGAGGGGGAGAGTTGGGGGGGCTGCCTTGTAGAGGGTGCCACAGGCCATTCTGCCTCCTGCTTGACTTTATGGTGACACCGAATATTCTAGAGGACCTAGACACAGGCAGGGCCTGGTGGGTGGGAGGAAGGGGGCCTGGAGGTCCCAGGGAGGCCCCAAAGGATGGATGATCCTGCAACACTGGAGAGGTCACTGCCCTCAGTGGCACGGGAAGGACGACAGGACCTGCAAGGGGTGGGCATCAAGTGCATGCCCTGCCATGCAGGTGCTGGGGAGAAGGGAGTCAGGCAGAAAGAAGGACCAGTGTCCTGGCAGAGGGTCCCCTACAGTAGCTTCCAGAGCCCCAACAAATGGAGGTTGTTAGGGGCTGGGCTTGTCCCCCCAAATCCAACTGAAGCCCTCATACCAGGACCTCAGAATGTGACTTTTTGAAGATGGGGCCTTCACAGAGGTGATTAAAGTAATGAGGTTACTAGGGTGGGCCCTGGTCCAATACGACTGGTATCCTTATGAGATCAGGACACAGACCCACACAGAGGAATGATCACATGAGGACACAGGGAGAAGGAACCTGAGAGGGAACCAGACCTGCGACACCCTGATCTCGGACTCTGGCCTCCAGGGCGGTGGTCTCTTGTATAGCAACCCCAGCAGACTCAGGTTTACCTAACACAGTCCAACCCCTAGATGGGGCAGAAGGAAGACTTGAGTTAGTCAGGCATGGCTGGGTGAGATGGCGGGTAAGGAAGGTGACACATGTGGTAGAGGTGGAGCCAGAAGAGGAATGGGACACAGGGAGCACACAGATGGGCCAGGCACCACCCCTGGGAAGGAAGCCTGGGAACTGGCTCCTCCTGTTGCCTGGAAGAGGGCCAGACGTTGCCCTCTCAAACCCCTAGGACCTGCCCACCTCCTTGTTCTTACCCAAGAGCAAGGCTTTGCCTCCTCCTCACCCACAGGACCAGGTAGCCCTGGAGGAAAGAGGCTGACACCTGGGGGGCTTCCTATGTCCCAGCACTGCCACCTCACCTCTAAGCATGCTCCAGGTGTGGCCAGGGTCAGACCTGCCCGGGTGAGGGATGTGGGAAGTCTGGCTGTGGGGACAGGCGTCCCAGACTCCTTTGCTCCCCATGGCTGACTCGAGCTGAGTCTCACCTGCTACGGGATGGGAGTAGACATGCAGGAAGGGCAGCCTGCACCTGTGGGCCACTCACACTCCTCCCCTCTTGCTCTGCTCTGGTCTTGGGGACCAGCACACATGTGCCCCTGTTTCATGAAGGCCAGGCTGGAGGCTGTAGGATTCAGGCCTTGGAGAAGGACTCCTCCTACCAGAGGAGAGTCCTTTAGGTTCCTTGGACCAGGACCCTGTTGAACCAGGTCTCCCTGCCCCTCCCCCACCAGGTGGCCACCAGGAGCCCCTGCCTGCTGGCTTCTGCCACTGGGGTCCTGATGGAATGAAGGACAGAAGATCACCATCACCACCAGCAAGGAGGGTCTCAACCATCTGCTCTCACTCTCCACACGGGCTGTTCTGTTCCACATCTTGGGCCCAGCTCCAGGCCTCATACCAGGTCCACCTACTGCCCCAGCACAGACACTACAGAGAGGGGAGGGGAAGAGATCTGACAAGCACTTCCAGCCACCGCCGTTGGTCTCATGGACAACTGAATGCTCAGAATGACGGACACAGCAAGACCAAGGTGGACAGAGCTGACCTGCAGCTACCAGAAAACACTAAGAGCAAGAAGGCAAGATCTTGCCAAGACAGCAGGGGCCAGGTACAAGGTGACTGCCCACCACCCCTTGCCCCTGGGTTAGGGAAGCTGGGCTATTGCAGGCCGCGTGAGCAGGCACCCGGACCCGAGGGCTTGATTTCCTGCAGGCCAGGCCTTGATTTCCTCCCTCACAGGGAGGAACAAGTTTGTGTTGAGAGGGATCCCTGGAGAGCACTAGAGGTCTTCAGAGCCTGCTAAGGGAGGTGCTGGGTGGGGGGCTAAGAGGGGGGAAGGGCAAGGACCAAAGGGCAGGACAGCACTGGCGTTGAAGGGGGTTTAAGCCCAGGAAGCAAGTTTGAAGTGGGGGCAAGGGGCCCTTGTTCTCAGTGGCTGCACCCCCACATTGGCCCACTCCAGGTCCTCACTTCTGACTTCCTCCCAGCCCTCCCAGAAAACCCACACTCTCCTGGGCCAGGGCTGCTGGGTTGCCGGTGCCCACACCCACCACACTGTCCCTCGCAGAAGTAGAGGGCCGGCCCCTGGACATCCCCTAGGCAGCAGCAGCCAGAGTGGGGCCCTGCCAGAGACATGAAAGCTGGCGCTTCCGCGCCTGCCGCCTGCTCACCCGCCAGGGAGGCAGGCTTCCTTCCCTCAGCCCTGCCAGCTCTCTGATCGCGGGCGGGCTGGGACGTCACCAGGGACACCACCCTGCGAGGCCCCGCGGCTTGAGCTGAGCTGACGGATGACAGGAGACGGCGGCTGGTGGCAAGGGCAGAGTGTCACCAGGAATCAGACAGCCTGGGTGGACAGCAGCACCCCAGGGCTCCGGGAGAGAGCTCCTGATGGGGGGAGGGGGGAGCTGAGGGCCTGAGCGCTGGTCCTCCTCCATCCTCCATCCCAAAGCATCTTCCAAATTCAATGTTTATCAACTGGCTGGCCAGCAAGGGAAGGGAGGGTGGAGCAGAGATGGAGGAAAGAGGCCCAGCCCACGGCAGACTCTGGGGGCTGAGAGGGGAATCTGGGCCTTACCCGCCTACCTTGGCTCCCGGGTATTCAGTTCCTGACCATCCTTGGTGCCAGCCTCTTGTCCCATCTCACCCCAGTGGCCGGGCCCCAGGCAGCAGGCCTGTCACCCACAACCCAGACCTCTGCAGAGGCTGCCGGCCACTTAAAATGGCCTGCCTCTGTTGTTAATTAAAATATCTGAAGAGACTTTGAAGAGGAAACCATTAGGCCGGAGGGGTTTGGGAGGCCCCAGGCCGCTCTCCCAGGACAGGACATTCATTCCTCCTGGCTCTGGAAGGCAGCCCAGCAGGGCCTGGGATCCAGCCCCTCAGCCTCGCCTCACCCTCAGGCACTCTCAGGAGGACAGGCAGAAGTGCAGCGAGCTCATGGGTAGGGCCACCACGGCATTCCCCCACAGAGGCCAACCAGGCCCAAGGGAAAGGGCAGGAAATAGGCCAACAGCAGCCCCTAGCCCAGAGCCACACACGCCTGGCAGCTGGAGCTCGGGGGCCTCCAGAAAGCCACCTCCAGCTAAGGGCAGACTTCAGGTCTCCTCTTCTCTGCTGCCAGGCCCCTTCCTCACCCAGACTGCTGGGCAGGAAGCTGGTGTTGCCTTGTCCTTTGGCCTGGCAGCCCAGGGCCAAGACCTCTGGGCGGCCTTAGCTCAGGCGGTGTAGCAGGCCCATCCCCACCCTGGGGGCCAGGCAGGAAGTGGAGGTTGGAAAGCCCTTCAGAACCAACTTCAGAGCACTCTGCTACTTCTGAATTCGCCAGCTCTAAAAGGCTTCATTATGCACCAGTGCACTGCCAGGGCGCGCCTTCTGACCACGACCTCACCCTCCTGCTGTCCTGCCCTCCTGGGGGCCCGCCCAGGAGCACCCCCAGTGAAACCTTCAGGTACCTGAAAGAGAGTCAGCTTGGCATTGTCCAGGATGGTTTTTGGAGGGGCAATGACTGTGGAGAGAAGGCCTCTGTTAGGAAGCACCCCCAACCATATGCCCCCCAGGAAGACAGGTCTGGGGGCAGAGATGACAGCCATCCATCAGACCACAGCCCTCTGGCCACCTCTACTTCTGCTGCAAAAACTGGGGGGGGAGTGCTACCCTGCATGGTTCTCCTTGGGGCTGGCAGCCTAACCCCTCACCAACTAGATGCCTTCTGCAGATCTGGGTCAGGAGTGGGGCCCAGGCCCTAGGGGTAGGGCCCTGGGGTTGGGGATCAAGTTACAGGGCTGCAGGGGCTCCAGAGGAGAGCAAGGGATATTAAGACTACAGGGAAGAAAACTTCCTTCCCACCACTGGGCTTCTGTTCCTGCTCCCTCCCAGGTCCCATAGGGACACTGTGGGCCTCAGGCAGTCAGGCAGTGGGTCACAGCTGTAGAGACCATGAAGAAGGAAAGGGGCTGGAAGCAGCCTGAATGTTGACCCCAACCCCGAGCCAGCAGCAGGCTTGGGAGAAGAAACTTACACAGGTGGAATGACAGCTCAGGGTTCCCCAGGTGGCTTCTCACGAAGTCGCGCAAATCCCCCACTGCAGAGGAGGAAGGGACCAGTAGAGAGCGTCACAGGACAGGCCCAGACAAGCTTGCATCCAGCACTCCTCTCCCAGCCCTCCTCGCCTGGGTACCATAAGGCCAGTCTTGAAGGGAACCTGCTGCTAGACTTGGGCCACCCATGGCACCTTGGACACTGCCTGCCATCTCTAACCAGAGCCAAGACCCAGGGTGGAAATTCAGCTCTGTTCCTTCCACAGCATCCGAGATGCCTGGCCTGGCTGGACTGCCATGCAGGTGACAACTGGGCTCCCACCCTGTTGCAGGGGCCACACGCCCACTGCTAACTCATGCCCAGCCAGGCCTGGGAGCATCCCCACTTCCTGCCCTGCCCTCCCCCAAGTCTAAGTACTTCCCTGGGGGAGGACCCCCTGAGACCTCGGGAACACCACCGCTGCAGCTATCTGGGATACAGCTCACTGAGGACTCCTTGGATGTGGTAGTATTGCTGCCTTCCTACAGGTGACCAGGCAGTTGGGCATGGGGGAGTCCAGGCCCCCTTTCTCTGGGTGCCCTGATCATCCTAGACCAGAGGCTCCCTGAGCTGGAACTGAGTACCTGGAAAGGGTACATTCATGGCCTATTCATGGCCCCAGCATATACTTTGCAAGCTCAGATCCCTTCGTGTGTCCCATGGGGATGATGGCAACCTGCACCCGCCCAGTCTCCTGAAAGCCCCAAGACCAGTTGGTGGCAGTCCTATTACCAGAAGGAAAGATCTAAGAGGGGCTCCATGAGTCCTCAACCTCCCACTCCCAGACATCCAGCAGGACTGCTTACCTGTCTCACTGGGACGGAAGAATCCCTGCAGGATGTAACGGTCAGGGAAAAGGATCCTCACAACCACCTAGGACAGACAAAGTGGTCAGTCAACAGGGACAGATAGAGCCAAGCCAGGCACAGGGAGGCAGCCTCCCCACTCAGCCCACCCTGGGTCATAGACACCAAAGCTGAGGCAGGCAGACATGTTGGCTGCTCTGGCCCTGGCCAGAGCTGTAGCCACGTGCCCAAGTGTGTGCAGAATGGCTTGCATTCTAAAACCACAAGGACGTCTGTTTTCAAATATGCTGTTTAAGGTTTTCATCATAAGACGTAAGCAGGGAGAATTAATTGGCTCATTTTTTTTTTTTTTTGAGTC